CCCTGCATAGATTTTCCAAGGAGAAACTGGTTAAGTTTGATCCCACCACCTTTTGGATTAAACTGACCCTGTGATCCAGTGTTTATCATGCAGCGCCACAACAGGACTCTGTTGTTGTTGTTAAGTGCCATAAAACTCATACGACCCTGTACAGACTTTCCAAGAAGTGGCTAGTGAGTTTAAACCACTTACCTGGCCGTTCAAACCGACTTTACAGTCCCGTGTTTATCCTACAGTGCCACATCAGGACTTCATTTGTTCTTGCTGCTAAGTACTGTCAAGTCACTCTCTACCCATAGCAATACTGAGCTTGAACTGCCGACCTTTTGGTTCAAATTGCAGTCCAGTGCATTAGCCCACCATGCCACACCAGGATTCCATTAGTAATAGCTAAAAATAAAAACAACAGAACCCACTGCTAGAGAGTCAATTCTGACTTACAGGATCCTGGTGGACAGAGCGGGATAGCTTCCCCATCAGGCTTCCAGTGTTTCTATTGCTTTAATAGTAAAAATGGTTATATGGTATACATGCAGTGTACACACAGTCTTAAGTACACATTTCTAGGTCTTAGCAAATAAATATCTATTGACAGATTGACTTCATAGTTTCAGTGGGTTTGGGTTGGAATCTTTACACAAGTTGACAGCCATATAGTTCCCCTGCAGAGCAGTAAGTGGGTTTCAACTGCTGACCTTTTGGTTAGCAGCCAAGCACTTAACTTCTATGCTACCAGAGGTTCTTTATCAGTAACTAGAGTACCTTAAGCATCACTACAAAAAATTGGTTATTTTACCACAATAATTGCCTATCTACTTTGGGCACTCTCTTACTTTCAAGTTTTAATTTAAGACGGATGTTTTTAAGTGCTATCAAGTCGGTTCCAACACATAGTGTCCCTGTATTGGGTTTTAATTTACCATAAATTCATCCTTTAATAATAAAGATGACATACATTATGTGGCATATATGCATCGGACACATTTTTAACCATGCATTTAGAAATGCATGGTTAAAACTGTGTGGTGCTATAGGATAAGCACTGGATCACAAGGTCAGTTTGAACCACAATGTCTGAGATTCAAACTCATCAGACACTCCTCAGAAACCCTATGTAAGAGGTCACTATGAGTCAGAACCAACTAGATGGAATTTAACAAGAAGCATATAAATACTGATTGGCAAATTAGCTTCATAGTTTGTCAGAAAGCTTACTAATAGACAAAGATTTTAGAAGTCTGAGCCTCCTCTTCCTTTACCTAATGTGTTTCCAAAAGAGGAAAACAATTCTATAGATGGGTAAATTCACAGTTGTCAGATATGTGCATTGTATATAATACAAAAAGAATTATAATAGCTCTGTTTAGAAAGTGAAGAATACCACTGTTTAGATTTGAAAGTCAGTAAACAGATTGTAGAATATCGTTCTGTCTTAAGTATAGCAATACGTATTACAAAGAATAATAAAAAAAATTATCTGAAGAAATAAATCTTACTACAATAATAACCTTATATCTAGACTCTTATATTTTTATGTTATGTAAGATCTCAAATAACTTTCCAAAGCATTTATGAAAACACTTCAATATAATCACTATCCAAAATACTGCAAAATAAAATGTCAATCTTCAAGATTCATTGCTCACCATTAGAAAGGTTTTTACCCTCCTCTCTTTGGGGAAAAAAAGTTCAGTAGGAAGTTGAATATAATTGGCAAACTTATTTCACTTTTTCTAGATAAAATATCTGGCTCAGGATAATAATTGTAACTGATCTATTTACTGGTATAGGTAAGCTACTGTTATTCTTTTATCATTTTCCATATTCTTAGATGTTTATTATGTAGAGAGAGAAATACAAAGTTATTTATAGCCTGTTTGGTGCCTTGAAGAAATTGCATTATTTCCAAAGACAAAAATCCAACCATATTTTAATAGAATTTAAATGATGAAGAAATGGCTGTACAAAATACAAAAGAAAATCTACTGAACAGCAATTTTGAAATTGTTTTCAAAGTTGTAGAAAATAGCCAATGATTGCTACTTATTCACTGATCATATGATTTTTTTGGTAATTAAGTACAATTAGTAACAAGTTCAGTAAAAATTCTACAGGAACCTCCCTTTCTTCCCTTAATTTCATCTGTTGCCTAAAATTACTCCTCTCACATAGTTGTAGTTGTGGTTGTTAAGTGCTATACATATTAGACATTACATATTTTGGAATGAGTGTACACATTTAGATACATTAATTTATAAATATTATTTGCTTAATTGTATTTATCTATTTAATATACATAATCAGAGTATTTTAATATGCCAATCAGAGACATATGTCATTGAACAATGACACAGTTTCATTGAGATAAATACTTCTCATAGAAAACTGAATACGGCATCGGTAGTATGATCTATAAAGCACAGTACCTTTATATACACTCCCCATTTGATTTCTGCAATTTTTATGTGTTGATGAATGAATAGTTGCCAAACAAGTCATGCTACATACAACAAATCTTCAATTTGAATAAGGGATGAAGCTTGCTATTAACAATTTAGTTTCCAATGTTAACAATCCTTGAGCTGCTAACATAACAACTAGCCATTAGTGCAGTAATGGCCAACTTTAAAGAAAATTGTGTTCTGATAAATGAATATATTGGTAATCGGGACTAGGTTTTGTATTTGAGAGAATATGGTTATACTTTTTAAATAAAGTAAACTAATAAAAAATTACAAATTCTATCAAAAAAGCAATATAAGAACCAGTTTAGAGACAAAGAATTTCTGATATGAAAACTATTATGATAAGTTCTCTTCAACAAATCACTCACTTGAAACTATCTACTTTATTAACATAATATATTTACTATGGTAAGGAATAAAACAAACCAAATCTAAGGTGTTTTCTTTCACTTCTTACTACTATATTGAAAACTGTAAAGTAGTTTTAATCACAATATAGGTTATTTCCTTGTCAAATTTATACTTTTTGTTGAAAAATCTAAATATATCAAGGGACTATCTTTAACTTTCACTTAATTTTTTCTTTAATGCTGACTGTTGTTGTATGCCACTGAGTTGGAAGCAACTCAGAGAGACCATGTATAGGGTTTCCAAGAGCAGCTGGTGGGTTTGAACTGCTGATTTTATGGTTACCAGCCCAGTGCTTATCCATCTTAATCTAGCCCAGACTATATGAACTATTTGCTTGGAATTACTCTAACATAAATTCACTTGAGATACTAAAGTTGTGAACAAATGTAAAAGTTAAAGGAGCCAAAAACCAGTAATTATGGGCCAGTACAGATAAAGCAAAACTAGGTAACCGATATTAAATCACTAAAAGCAAATACAAATGGTTTATTGAATGAAGTTCTAACTGAATGAACAGGGAAAAAAAGGTTTATTGCAACAAGAATTAGTCAAAGACTGGGAAGTCCCGAAAAAGCCATACACTATGTTAACTCTGATTAGTTTTGCCACTATGATGAGGGAAATCCTGACTGTCGAGTCACTTCAAATGTTGGCATCTTACATGTATTTTATGCACCTGGAGTACAGAAAAGTAGTCATAATTAATTAGGAGGCTGTCAGATGAGGCTAATAAAAAGTATTCATTTCACCTTCATAACTACTACTAAATTATCTACTTTTGTCTATAAACATTGGATTTGAAAGCAAATAACTAAATTGCATACTTTTGTTGCTGCGGTTGTTGTTAAGTACCATTGAGTTGGTTCCAACTCACAGTGACCGAGTATAAGATTTCTGAGGAGTGGCTGGTAGTTTGAATCACCAACCTTGCCGTTGGCAGTCCAGTGAGTATCCTACAATGCCACACTGAAAAGCAACAGATCCCCTTAGAAGCTGTTCCAAAGTAACCACGATGCTGAAGGAGTCACTGATTATTGATACATTTTGTGTCATAAGAGGAAAATTCAAAATAAACCATATAATGTCAGACTAGAAAAATGATTAATTGCGTCAAATATGAAAATCCAAATGATGCCATAAATCATTTCTCTAATTTGATAGATCCTGCTTTATTAATAAAGCATTTGCAGCTGAATCAAGCATCAAAGTTCCTTAAAAAGAAAAATAATTTTTCCTAAATAGGAGTTTATTATGTTGAGTTTTAAATGCTGGCTAACACGAGAAGACTGAAGTTTAGTTCTCTGATACTGTAACCTCACTTCATGATTTCATAACCATGAACACCTGCCTTGTCCTAAAACCATTCATTCATTTACATATCGGAAAGCAACTATTCCTAGTGATAATAGCGGCCTTTTCTCCGCAATTCTCCATAAAACTACTGGCAAGCTGAGGCTCCCAGGGCTCAGTGATGTCATTATGATGGTCATTTGAATTGTTACATAGGGAGGATGCATTTATACTTCAGAAAAGTTTTCAAAACTATACAATAAATATATTAGTAAACATCAGATACAAATTGAAAACCAAACTTCCTCTGATGTGAATCTGAGAATTTACCTCATTACTGTTAGAGGACTAAATACAGGTCACACTATCAAGCACTAACTAGTTAAACAATTTCACATGGTATATTTGTCAAATTGAACATTTTAAAAAGAAAGAGTTAAACTGTTTGAACAGCCAACCAACTGATCCACTTCATTGTATTATACTCAGCTCATCTGGCCAATGACACTCTAGTTAGTAATAATAATTTTTAAAATCTACAAGCTGATCTTAAGCAATGTTATCATTGATATTTATTGGTAGTTTCGGTACAGGCAATGGAGTAGCCTATTTGTAAATATGAGTACCCAGCCACGCCAAATTTAAACATGTTGGTCATTTCCTTAAGCAGTAATTTGAGTAACACATACTGGGCAACATTTTGAAGGCAGATAGGTCAACATCTCTCAGGAAATTTAGATGGTAGTAAGGGAATAAAGCAAACAAAAAATACACTTACAAAAAAGTATTTAAAAAAGAATCTAGTCATCACTGGTGTTCAAGGATAATTCCTACCTCAGATAGTCTCTGCGACAAAGGATAAGATTAGCTTTAGTGTACAGGGTGGAGCCCACTTCTCCCAAACGACAGTCACAGCAGGCACACTTCAGACAGTCTTCATGCCAATATTTGTCCAGTGCCTTTAGAAGATACCGGTCCTTGATCTTTCGGTTGCAGCCAGCACAACCTTTCGGCTTGGTGTCTGGCTGGACTGAGAGCATTTGTATACCTAAAAGATGACAAAAGCAAAAAGAGTGGTGGGATGACAAAACAGAATAAAAAAAAGATGTTAAATGATCTCTCACAAGTTAAATATTTAATATTGCCTTTTCTAAGGGTATTAGCTTTTCTTTTTTTTCAGGACCGTACTGAAAACAAACTAAATTTGGGAAACAAAGAGTTTCAAACTTTGTAAAGTCCTTATTAAATCATTTACAAATGTCACAAGTATAAACTAATAAAAATAGTGAATTGATGTTGTACCCAGTAAGCAACCATTACATATATGCAGTTAAATATCTTGAATTTTTTACTATGTTCTTAATTTCCACACACAAAATTTCCTTTAGGGAAAATAACATGAGTAAATAGCTAACAAATTTAAAAGATAGCAATTCAATAAACCAATCAACACACAGTCTACAGAAGTAAAAAATGAGTTTTTCTTAGTTGGTTAAAATTTTTCATTTAATATGTGAAAATCTTTACAGTTAAGTATTAAGTTCAGTCATCTAAAAAACTCCCCAGTATTACTGTACTTGTTTGTAGTCAAACACTACCTCTTAACTCCTCAATATTTCACAATATTCATTATTTTAAAGTTAAAAAAGTCTTCATATTCATAAGTATCAGTTAGTGCCCATATTAATGGCATATTAGCTAACTATATACTATCTACTTCTATATAAAACTAAAGACTAAAATTATGTAATCATTACCATAAATACACATTTATTTTTATGGGAAAGAAGAAACAGAGGGCAAAGTTGAAATATGTAAATCTAAAATATACAAAAATATGTATATATTAAATATACACTATATTACACAGAAGGACATTTATATATTTTTAGAGATTATCTCCATCACAAACAAGGGGTCTAGCTACATTCCACTGGTCTTATAACTTGACTGAAATCTTTTCCATGAAAGGATATTCATCTTTGAGCTTCTTATTTCCTAAGTGTCAAATACTCAGCCTTGAAAAATGCTGGTCAACTTTTTAAATGACTTTATATTTATCAAATAATTTATTTTAAACATTATAAAATTGTCAAACTAATCATCTACTCCAAATTCTCTCACTTTACAAATTATGATACAGAAGCTCAAAAGAGAAAGGTTAAGGGATTCATTCAAAGCTGAATGATGGGGACTTGGGATGAGGTGGCCTTCTTACAGTCCAGACACCCCTTTGCTACATTATGCTTCCGCTGCTATGCATAAAGTTTCCAACTTGGATGTAGAAGGACACAAAACACCAAATGTGCATGCATTTGAAAGAGTTTCAAGAAAAGAAACAACAATCTATAATCGCCTGCATGTTCTGTGCATTTCCCTTCTCCATAATACCTAAATATTCTGCAGTTTCCTCTGATGCCTGATAATGAATGCTTCACCCTCATTACCTCCAACACTCTTTTAAAAATAATCATATAGATAAGAGACATAAAGGTACCCTCTGCCACAGCTGAGTAACTTTTCTAGTTCCCCAAAATGCAATGCACATAATATTGTTATGATGTTGATACAGTACTGGAGTAGGAGTGGCAGGGGAGAAAGTGGCATGTCTGCCTGAGATGCCTAGCCTAGCCCTAGTCACTGGAGCTGCAGACTAGCAGCTGGATGTATACAGAAGAGCAGGTGCTATTCCTATAGCTTGCTTTCTGTTCTTTTTCTTTGAAGGAGCTAAGGGTCTAGTGTAGATTAATCATAACCCTTGATAGCTCTGCTAAACCTCACTCTCTAGAACTTCTAACAAATGAAGTTTCTTTGATCAGTACTGGTTATCCATTTCTAGTAAGGTTCCACAATGAGTGAATCCAATTAATTACAGAGCAGAACATACCCAAGTGCCCCTTAAACATATACCTGGGGGGAGGAGGAACATTTTGATTTACTAAATGACATTCTGGATTGTGTTAATATAAACATCCAGAGATACACGAAAATTGGCCATTTTATTTCCCTAATTTATAAAAACAGTTTTAAAATTCCACAGCTCAAAGATATTAAAAAAAAAAAAAAGTCCTTTATTTTGCAGCAACTAAACTACATTTTGTATAGTTGTGCTACTATGTAATGAGAAGGCCAACTGTCTTTATTCAAAATGCTTTGCTACCAGGACAGTGGATACTAACATTTGGCACAAGAAACACTACCTTGCTTGTCTTCACAAAATGTTTTTGTTGTGTTGACATTTTAATTTAACACTCAAAGGCCAATTAATATTTGAAACTCTTACCCTCTTATGCTTTGCCCTGGGCATAAAAGGAGCTTCATATTTTTTACATCTTATCCCTGTAACTTTTTTTAAAGATCATATTTCTTTTAAAAATGGCATATTTTCAATGATACTCAAGTTAACTGTTGTAGAAAAAGAATTATTTTGTAGACAGCATATTGACATGTACCTAAAAGGCATAAAGCAGTCAGTGGCCTCCTCCTGCCATCCAGAAGAACACGTCTGGGTAGAGTTACATGTTCTTAAACTGAGAAACATTTCACAAGTTGCTCATAGCACATCAGGACTCATAACTAGTTTTAGATTGGCATGTAAATTGTTCTGAGGGAAATTCTTATTGCCTCTGAGACCCTGCCATTCTGAGTTATTTGACAGTTTAAGGGAAATCATAATTTAAAAAAAGACATAAATAATAGCCTGTTCAGTGTGGTGTGCAGAAATAAGTAGAACCATTTCATTTAAACTCTGGTGAGCTTTTAATTGCCTGGATTGCATTGTGAGAAGGCCTAACGGTTGATTGCCTCCATTATGTTCCCTTGTTCTGTGCCATTCATCCGCACAGTCTCAGCTTCAGTAGTTAACACAACAAAGTAACCACAACTCCACAACACACAGGGTTTTAAAATAATAATAATAATAATAAAAGATTCCGCAGTACTTAGAAACAGTCTTTTATATTAGGAGGCTAACTATGCATAATGAATGGAAAACATCTTGGCCAACACCACCACCCCCCTCCCAAAGATGCAAAGAGAATAATTTGGGAAAAGGAACAGGAAGAGGGAATGCATAAAGGGGATTGGCAGAGATGAGGTGCCTCAGGAAGATGCTAAAATGGGAATACAGGTCCTGCAGCTGGGAGCAGTGACACAGATTAAAAGAATTTGGCCAACAGGGCCATTCGATTGCCAAGAGGTACCAAACAAAAGATTTTCTCTTCTCCTGCCCATCTTCATCCTCTCCCCAACCCCCAACATCTATTGGAAAAGTGGATTGGACCTAAAAGCTTGTTTCTCTCTGTTCACTGGCCCAGAGCATCCCTACAGGCTCCAGCCCCCTAAGGGACAACAATGCAAATAGATGTCCCCAGATCTCAGAAACTGGAGCTGCTTAACTCTGTCCTGCCCCTTCAACTCCCAACCCCCTCCCCATCATCCTTCCATTCCCCCCACACACACCCCCTTTTTGAGCAATGGAGCTGGGAACCAATTTGATTCCCTTTTTCTCCAATGCAGCTGCAAGGCTCAGAGATACTGACATTTTTCCACTCTTATCAGTTTAATTACAGTTACCATGGCAGCAAAGTGCTAGTGCTTGGCAAAGGCCAACAAGAGATTTGCAAGACTGAGTTCAATTTTGATGCAGCTCACATGCAAAATAAAAAAAAAAAAAAATAAGAAACATACATACACTCTAACAAAGAATCCCTTGCGGAGTTTATGCTCCAGCCTTTTGTAGTTGTGTTTTTGCAGCCACACAGGGATGATTTGCAAAGAATGTAGCAGTATTTGTTGCACCTAGCAAGATTAATTGGTTTAAACAGCAGTCTTTCAAAGCAGTTACGAACAATAATATTCCGGATCTTACAGAAAGACACAAAAGCGGCGGAAGAGCAGGAAGGCTTCTGAGCAATTTAAGAGTGCCGATCGCCGGCAAAGTGCATCTATGATAGATTGTAACCTTACCAAAACTTTTCTCCTTTTTCTGCATGAGTTGACTTAGACGTGCCTGAGTTGCAGCAGCTTCTGATTGAGCGCCAAGCCCAAAGGTAGAAGTGGAAGGGGGTCTCCCGGATTTGGCTCAAGTGCGGACCTGGTGCACAGCCTACACCGCCGAAGACCTACTTTTGTGTAGCCACTTCGGGAGCGGGTCAGAGTGGCGGCGGGGGGTGGGGGGGAAGGAATGAGGACGGCCAGACCAGACATGGTGCACACACACACACACACACACACAGCCCCTCGCAATGTGCAAAAATGATGGCGAATGACGAAGCCACATGCTTCCCTAACTCTGCCCGTAATCCTAAAATCCCAGCGGCCCCTTTTAGCTTCCTGGTAACAAATGGATTTGATTAAACTGTCACATGCAGCGTTAGCATAGCATATCATGTTCAATATGAAAAAGATCATAAATCTGACTTGTATTTCATAACAGCAATCTGGATAGCCCCCGTCCAAATGTGCTGAATCAGTTTGAATCTCAACCTATTAGGACTTGTTCCACGGGGCCTCTCTCCTCGGACCACCTCTCCCCCATCACCCAAACATTAGTCACTTTTTCACCTTCTAGAAACAGCATTTTGTTATTATGGCTGGGGTGGTGGTGGTGGTGGTGAAAGTGTCAACAAGAACCAAAAGACTGTAATTTAAACTCTTTTTGGGGTGGCGGTCGTGAATCCCAGCAAGTAAGGTGGGGGAAGGGTCCGGGAACCCACCCAGGACAGAATTCCTTTCCTTCGGGCCAGGAACGAACATTTCCCAATTCCGAACTCTTTTGCCCCTCTCTCCCCGGGAGCCGGGGGGGATGGAAATACTGCAGTTCATCGTGAACTTTGACTATTATCCACTCGAGTCATACTTGAGACGTTCCGCGCCGCAGCCGCTCTTTCTCCTTCCATCAATATCTTCCGCCTGCATCTATTTCATGTCTCATCATAAAAATAATGAAGCCTCACATGATTTAAAACAAAACCGTCTCAGCAGAGCTGCAGCCCGAATGAAAGTTGCAGTGCGGAGCAGGGTTGCAGCTCCAGTTTATGCCTCATTAGGAGAGGCTAGGGGGAAAAAAAAGACCCACATCCGCACACGCACGCGCGCACCCGCAGACACACACACACACCACAAATAAGCCGACGCGTGTGTTCACAGTTGCTGCACTTACCTTCTCAATTAAGCGATACAGGGGGAGGCCGTTCAGTAAGCACAGTGGCTGCTTTGTAGCGCTTCTCCTTGGGAAAGGTCAAAAAGAAGCATTGTTTGAAAAAAAGAGGGGGGAGGGAATCGCTATTTTTTAAGTTTAAAATAATGAGGTCCTCAAGGATCCGCCAAGTAATGGTGTTGACCGCATCTGAGCCACAGGTGTCCTCCTTTTAGGCAACTGCAGTCCGAGGTTTTCTCTCTCCGTCCAAGCTCAAGACAACTTACCCCAGTAGCATGCGAGGAGCTGAGCTGAAGGAAACCCCAGCTCTCAGCTGCAAAATGCAATCCCTTCCCAGCCAGACATAATACAGCCAAAGAAAAGGTCACTCAGTTATTACTGAGCCGGCGGAGCCTAGGCAGCGCTCGTCAAGACCACGGAGAAGCAGCTCCCTTCCGATTGAAGACTATTTACCTCTCACCCCCACCCCTCCCCTCTTGTCTCCTTTCCTTTTCTCCCTCCCTCTCTCGCTGGCTCCCTCGCTTGCTCTCGTGTGCTAGTTCTGCATCTCAGTCAAGTACAGCCGCCCTCGGAAAGTGCAAAGCAGCCACGAGACAGATAGCGCTTTGTTGCTAATTTCCCAGGGTGAAAATTTACAAGACTGCGAGTGCAGTCAGCACAACCTCATGTATATGCTACTCACAAACACTGGGGAAGACCAGCACACAAAAAGTGACCTCTGGAGGAGTCGACTCAAGAAGGACCCTACCTCCTGGACCCGTCCAAAAGAACTCCAGCGAAAGAGCTCCGGAGAAAAAGGGTAGGGCTCCTAAAATAACCAGGACATTTTGGAATAGGTAGTCACATTTAAAACACAGTCCCCAAAAGCTGTTTTTTAAGGCACCCAGTTGTGGAAAATAAAATAAAAGCAAAGGAATCAAACTGCTCCCAGAATAGGCTGGGAATGCACCAGCCCTCCCCTTTAAGAAATGTCTTTGGGGTGGAGGGTAGCTTGCAATTGCCAGGTCTCTGGCTTCACTCCTGAACTCTCTGAAATCCCTGTTCCTCAAGTCTGCCACTCATGCCAGGTCCAGCTGATGACACACTCTTCTTCCTTCATTCTTTCAATGGCCCTAGAGCCCAACTGTGAACTTGCTCCTCCTTAACCAAAGCTGAATCCCTCTTTCCCCACTGAAATACCCTTCTGCAATTACTTGGATTTCTTACGATTTAAAACTCACACGATCAGTGAAAAACACCCAAGAACACACTGATTCACGCCCAACTTGGTCAAACAACCATAGGGTCTCCAAGTCTTGGCTGGAGCCACCACTAATGTATCTGTAGGCTTTAGAGGCCTTCTCAGATTCTGTTTGATTGTTTTGTTTTTTTCATATAGGTCTCTCTTCCCAATCTCCTCTTTTCTCTACTTTCCATCTATCAAAACTACTGTTAGCTTTAAAATATCTTCTTATTTTTCTAAGTTTTTGAACTTCAAAGTTGTCTTCTCTTTTTGGCAACTATTATAACATCCCACCCGTTTTACTGAAGCCTTGTCAAAGATGAAACTTAAAAAAGTCCCAGTTTAAATGACTCTGATGAAAATATTCTAAGAGCCAATTGTTGAACTATAATCAACTTTTTTCTTCTCTGCACCATCAGTTTTAATCCAGTTTGAGTTAAAAAAAAAATAATAATCAAAGCACCACCTCCAATGAATATTGAGCCTGTTGTGCTCATTTTTATAAAGAAAAATGAGAAAACATTGATCACTTAGTTTTTATCTCTTCCCTTTTACAGTCTCATAATAAAATAGTATGTGGTTTACTTTCCTTTCCCTTTAAAAAGCAACAAAACTCAGAACTAACCTGAAAAATAACGAAATTCACAGACGGCAGATTAATAAGACCCCCTTCAGTTGATTTGTTCTGTACATAGGCAGGTTTCTTAAGTTTGGCTTTTCTGGCCTGTTTAAGCAGGCACACATACACCTCACCCATCCGCACAGCTCCCTGCTGCTCTACCCCACCTCTCTGCTAGAACCACTCTGAAAACACCCCAGAGAGAGAGTGTGTGTCTCTTGCGCGCTCTCTCTCAGCCAATGTACTGAGAAGAAAAGAGGGAGGGAGGGAGAAGTATGTGTGGGGAAAGGGAGAAATAAAATCAAAACAAATGGTACAGCTAATGAGGACAATTAAATTAATTATGTTCAAGGAGATGAGATTTTTTTTCCCTCCAACTGTATGATCTGTTACCCCTCGCTGGCAACTGCTGCTCTGTAATTCATGGCAACTGATTAGTGCATCTATGCAAATCTTTGTTTAAATCATTCAACTAATTAAATGATGGGATTATTCCTCTGCCTACGGTGACATCATTCGCAGTAATTAGTACTCTATTTGGACTGTGGCAGTAAGATTCCTGA